TTTTAACAACTCTGAGCTATTAGTTAAGTTCTCCCCAAGCGAGCTCGATGGGCCGAATGGCCTCCTCTCGTTTGTATATTTCTTATGTTCTTATGTTCTTATGTTCTTATGTACCCTGGCCCTCTTTTCCAGTGTGCACCAAGTTGAGAATCATACCTAGAAAGTGGAAACGCATACAGTGGGCAATCCATTATTAGCTAATATTTACCCCCTGTTTTCTTGTGCTACAGGGGGTTTTGGTTCACTTTGCTGGGTGGAGGTTGCTACAAGTGGTTTATTGGTTTAGCAACTTTGGAATTAGCGGATTAGTGGTTATCAGAGGTAACATTTGGTTAACTGTCCCCACCACTGGTGGCACAGTGAGGGGCTGAGGTGTTTGGCAGCTGAACTTGAGCACTAGAGAGTAACCATCAGTGCCACGTCACTCAATGCCCAGATTACTTTCCCACAACTGCTATCCTTCATCTGGGAAGGAGTGAAACCTCTCGATCATATTTGTATTGACCTAAGCCAGAGACTCACCTTCCTATCCAAAATTTCAATGACCAACCTGCGACCAGATCTGGTCGTTTGGTCCAACTCCTGCCAGCATGTCTTCATCACTGGGCTGATGGTACCTTGGGAGGATGCTGCAGATCTGGCATTCAAATGGAAAAGGCTACGATCCGGCAACATACGCCGAAGCAGATTAGCAAAGCTAATCCAGCATCCAGCTGAAGTGGGGTGCAGGGGCTTTTTATCCAGTGCTACCACAAGGCTCCTGAGGGAAATAGGAGTTACTTGGGAAGGCCAGTAGGGAGGCAATCAAAGCACTCTCCAGTGCCACTGAAACGAGCAGTCACTGGATGTGGCTGAAAAGAAGCCATATTTTGTGGGCTGGCTAGTAACCATCTAGAGACTAACCAGGAGACATACCCAGGTCTCATCGGTCTGTGGTGGGCCTGCTTCAGCCGAGGGCTGTCTTGTGATAAAAGGCTGAAAGGCCCAGTAATGCTGAGGTACACAACTGATGATGGGTTGTAATGGTAGTAACAGGGACGGATTATGGGTTGTGTGGGCCCCTGGGCAAATTGTTTGCGAGGGCCCCCCCCACCACAACCACCACAATTCAAGGGCCCTTGGCAGCCAAACGCCCTCCCTCCATGTTTCCATCAGAGGCCCTATAGGGTCAGGGGTCCTTGTAGGCAGAGGATCAAAGAATGTAGGCCCTCTAAAATAGACAAACGAAAATACATTGTTGATAAGAATTGCAAATTGTTTTGGGCTAGGGGCCCCACGGGCCCCCTGCACCCCAAGGGCCCCTGGCCCCGCTGGCCCGGTCCGTAATCCATCCCTGGGTAGTAACATTATCTATGGTCATCTCCAAGAACAACCCCACTTAAATCAAATGCAGTGCAAAGCCTTCAGGGACTGTAATACTCCGTCCTAGTAATCTATGCCTCATGCATGAAGCTTGAGGGTGTATAACCTTCCTGTTGTAAATAAACCACATGGACCCTCAGGATGGACCAATTCAAATCAGGTTTCTGTCAGAAGGCACAGTCAGGGGTATAAGAAATGTAAACAATCACGTTTTTGCATAGCTAGGAAAGGTGTTAGAGGAGTGAATGGATGCACACATTTCTGTGGTCACCCAGCCTGGAATGTGTGTGTCAGTGAGATGCTATCGGCGATAATCCCTCAACGCAGAGGCAACAGTGATCTCACTCATGCTGGTCGGGGGTCACAGAACAGGGACAATGTATGTCCAGGAAGCTCTACGACACAGATGATTTATGAGCATATTGCGCCAATGAGGGTTGTTTTGATGACAGAATGATGTTTCCAGGAATGAGGTGCCGGCACCTTCTGCATGTGCCCTGATGTGTGGAGGGATCCTGGAGTGAATCCCCCATGGTGGAAATGGGCGGCTTTCACATACCACACAGACATACATATATATACAGGTACGAGAAAAGCTTGGAGTTACAATGGTTGAGTCAGCCAGCATCCAGCACCCCCTGGGGCAGCTACAGATAAGGACCTTGTTCAAGGGAACTACTGTCATGTGGTTTGAATCCAGGGTCAATAGAGTGACTTCACCATTGGATCCCTCAGCAAAGCCCTTAACTCCCAGGTGCTGCAGGGACCGTCTGATGTGGCTCCTCAATTTGTATTTTGCTTTGCATGAAAACATCTGCTAAATGAAATAAATGCCAACACACATACACACGCACATATACATTTTGTCTTTTGTCTATGGTCTTAGATGTTGAGCTGCAGCTGATTCAGCTCACACCAGTCCACAAAACTGTCCACAGTCCTTCTGTATTCCACATCCGCCCCATGCCTGATGTATCCAACTATTGCTGAATCATCTGAGAATTTTCTGCAGATGACAGCCCTCAGCGTTGCATCTGAAGTCGGATGTGTACAGGGTGAAGAGAAATGGTGAAAGAACTGTTCCCTGTGGAGCGCCTGTACTGCACCGCACTGTGTCAGACACGCGGCCCTGCAGCCTCACGTACTGTGGCCTATCAGTTAGATAGTCCATGATCCAAGAGACTAAGGGAGCTTGAACCTGCATAGCAGAGAGTTTACTCCCCAGCCGAGCCGGCTGAATGGTATTAAAGGCACTGGAGAAGTCGAAGAACATGATCCTCAGTGAAGTGACTGTAGGCACGGTGTAGCAGGTAGGTAATGGCATCTTCTACTCTAATCTTGGTCTGATATGCAAACTGGAGGGGATCAAGTGATGGCTTAACCAGTGGCAGAGTGAATTCAGGACCAGGTTTGAGGTTTTGAGGTTTTCAAAAGTGTTGTCAGGAGAAGAGTGAGTGAGAGCTTTGGCAGGTGAGATGTTGGCAGAAGAAGAGTGGAGAGATGTTAAATCACATCCTGGATAGGCGCTGGAGTAGGAGGGCAGGGAAACATTGGAGAAGGAGGGAAGAGAAGGGCTGGACGAGACGTTGTCGAACCTGTTAAAGAACTGGTTAAGTTCATTGGCCCACTCAACATCTCCATCCGTCACCTGGCGGTTGGACTTAAAGCCAGTGATCGTCTTCATGCCCCTCCACACATCTCTGGTGTTGTTCTGCTGCAGCTTTAGCTCCAGCTTCCTCCTATGTCTATCCTTTCCCTCTTTCAGCTTCTCAGACAGGCGTCTTTGTGCCTCTTTAGCTGCCTCTCTGTCACCTGACCTAAAAGCCTCCTTCTTCTTGTTCAGGAGGGCTTTGATGTCCTTGGTGACCCATGGCCACCAACGATCAACAAAGTAAAAAACATATGTATATTGTGATCTGGCCAGAAGAACAGATACAACAAAAACATCAGGATGGCACGAAAAGAAATTTAAAAAGTGTTTTGTTTAACTTACTTGGACAGCAAACATATTTTGTTGTAAAAAAATATTGGGGTATTTATAAAGGAAAAAGGAGTTCATAAACAAAACTGTCTAGGAGCGATTCAAAACAGCAGAGATGAAGACGATTATAACTGTCTCAGAGAGCACATTCAGCGATCATGCAAAAGGACTGGAGGTAAAATTTAAACTGATTTTAACATATATTACATAATCTATAAAAGGAACAATAATTAAAATTGCAAAGCTAGATAAGTTTTTTGTTCTGTGACAGAGCTAAAAATGTTTTAGCGAAACTTAAACTCCCTGCGCTGTAATGTCCGTACAGAATTGAATGAAAAAGCCTGATCTTAATCTAGCTGATTAGCAATGTATGAATTCCATGTGCATAACATGCAATGTCGGTATTAATATCGCACATCGTCCAGCCCTATAATATACTACAGCCATTTTTCAAATTCAGTACAAAATACCCCGCAGTGTGATGTCATTCAGCACCAGTACCAGTTTTTACGCCAGTGGAAAACTAAACACCTTGAAGTACCAAAAGTATAGTACTCGGTGCGGTGGAATAGCGCCCATACTCCTAATTCAAAGTAACTAAGGTAATGGGGGATTTTTTCTGTACCTTTGGAGTATCCTTCCCTCTGCCTATCGCCCCACACAGTCCCTCCCCATATTGTCCCTGCTCATCCCCAGCTTGGCCCCTCCTATATCTGTCAGTGCCCCTCCCTATTCTGACAGTGTCCCTCCCCAGCTCTGTCCCTCCCATTTCTGTCAGTTTCTTCCTTCCACCTTTTTGTCGATCCGGATCTCTACGGTCTGCTCACCCTTTCCCATTAATGTTGGTTCCCATGGTAACAAGGTGGCTCGGGTGCCGGGGCCTAGACGCTAGGGGTCTGTCGGGCAGCCTGGCGGCTTATTCCACAGTCTTCATTCCTCTGAGCAGCAGCCTGTACAGCGACAAGGCGCTGAAGTTTTTCCTGTGGGTGAGTGAGAAATGAAGCGAGGGACCCATTTTCAGGGGCGATGGCTCAGGCCTGGAAAATAGGGAGAGAAAGAGAGGCAGGGTAAGAGATGGAGGAGTGAGACTGAATGAAACCAGAGAGGAACTGGAGTGAGACATAGTGTGTTTGATGGCTTGAAATGAGCAGCGGCGAATCAGTATGAATTACAGAAAAACTGTGAATGTCACTGTTTAAGAATGTCATTACAGTGCCGTTATACAGAGGCGTTTCCGTGAATCACCATATACCCAGTACAATCTGTTATAATAAGTAACCAGTGACTTAAGACTACGTTTTTTCATCTGTGGAAGAAAGGGAGATTTGCCACATCTATGAGAGCTTGTGACAGATTCTGGCAGGTGACGTAACGCACAGTGCAGCGTGTGTTTTACACTGACCGCTTATGGAGGACACTCCAGGCAGTTCAATGCTATTAAGGGTGTAATTTCTGTCTGCATTACCGCTAAACAGGGTGCAGAGTAAAGCAGTGAGTCTGCGGGACAGGGAGGGAGACGGACATGGGGATGGAGAGAGAGAGAGAGAGAGCTATGGAAGGAGAATGAGAGGAAGGGACAGACAGGGGGAGTGTTGCTTGTTTGTTCAGTTTTGATGACCTTCAAAAGCCATAAATACATAAAGATCTTTGGAAAGCAGACAGAAAGTGAAAAAGCTGGCAAAGGCTATTTGTTTTGGTATTACTGAATTACAAGAAATCAGGGAATTCTGGGTACTATTAGGTTTGCCTCAAAGTCTGAGTGAAGCCGGCGGTGGCAAACACTTCTGTTGTTGTCTTTCTTTGATTTGACAGCAATGTTTAAATCTCCTTCTCTTCAGCTGAAACAGATGAAGGAACTAGAGCTGGAGAAAGACTCTTTGTTGGTTGGCCTGGATATGCTGGAACAGACCAAGAACTGGTACCAGGACCAAATCTGCAACGTTACTGGGAGGCAGAGGCAAATGGGCAAGAGTGCCCAGAACGCGGTAAGCCATGCCCATCAGCACCCAGGATCTGGGTGAGAGCACCAAACCTCTCACTGGGACGTCCAGGAGGGACAGGAGGGACAGCCGTTTGTGTCACCTGGACCCTGGAGCCACCGGAGGCTGGAGAGAGACAGAGACTAAGATTTGCTAATTGTTTGTAAGGAAAGAATATTGCAGACAGATTAAAAACAACACGTAAAAGGGGTACTTATGCAATGGAATGCGATAATGACCTTCAAAAAGCAAAACGATTTAATGACCACAAAAAGTCAAGTGATAACAGGGGCGTTGATCGAACCAAATTTGTGGGTAGGCGCCATTACAAAACCACACTCAAGACCTAAAAAAATATGCAGCAGGTATTAATGTTCCTGAAACTTCATGTAACTTTTAAACTGAAGGATAGTGTTATTCGTACAGGCAAAATTACAAAGCGAGCTGGCCTGCCATCTAACTTGCTAGCTAATGTTAGCTACCTAACATCAACATAAGTTTGTAATGCAGCTTCACAGTATGTCTGCGTTAGCACACTGATTTCATAGCTAGCTATGCAGACATGTGCGTCATATATTTCGGCAGTTTTAGGCTAATGCAGCCTATGTCTGTGGGACAACAACACAGAAGCACTTCAGTTGCCTTCTTATACTTGCAGTAGCACATTTATTTGGCTAGCAGTTGTAAACAGCTAAAGATAGCTAGCCTTGTTTACTGCCACTGAGATGTGATGATGAGGGATAGGGGAGGGGATGGAGAAAGCTTGCTCATTGGCTAGATTACCCTGACAGCAAGTTACTACAGGTTTCACAATGTCAATGTTGGCACGTTATTGGTTGACTGAATAATTATTTTATACGTTTTTACTAAATATTGGGTAGGCACAACACCACTGAGCGATATGCCAATACATGTTTTGCCCTCTTTTTGAAGTCCAGTGAAATTCCAGTAAGTGTACGGGCTTTGCCTGGCAGTACTGTACTCCGTGGTCTCATGGGATGATCGTCTTCAAACCTTTCCCCTTAGGAGACGTTCTTGAAGCCCAGTCAGAGTCACCTGAATGTCCTGCTACCCAAACTGCAAGAGGTCAACAGCTGCCTCAGGGACCTCATGTCTTATGGAATGGTAAATGTGGCCCATTTGAACACCTTTCCGACTCACATTATCGAAACTCAAAACTTGTGAGGTCATACAGCACCAGGTGACTAACTGCCCTCATAATTACTTTTACATTAATAAGAAAATAGAGTACATTCTGTGCAGTAAAATGAAAAAAAAAACATTTAATCACAGGGTGATCTTGTATCAAACACAGTTTATTTTTAGTGTGAAAGAAACCTTGAACTCTCAGGAAAAAGTATTGAATAGATATAAATCACAGGACCTTGTACACACGTATGAATTTCAGTGAGGCTGGTTCTTCCTACAGTCATGTACTGAATCTACCTGCTCAGTGTCCATGTGATCTGCTGTCTTCTACCTCATTGGAGTTTTATCTTCCCAGGCTTCTGTTCCACAACCCACTTTCCATCAAGAACCAACCTGCCAATCAGAAGCAGCTCCCCATGTAGCCAACGTGTTCCAGTAGCGTGGCGGCTAATGACTGACCCAGGGCTAACTCGAAACAAACTTTATTTGCATTGTAACCTGCCTCCACTTTAATTCTTCTCTTGTGGGCTCCTCCCCCTTCCTGCAGGAGGTCACCAGTGAAACCAGTGAGAGAGGGGATGACAGCCCTGTAGCGGGAGGTGTGAGCTCCGATCCTTAAGCAGCACTCTGGACTCTTTGTTGGCTTGAGCCCTATGGATGACACCCCCCTGAGCCCTATGGATGACACCCCCATGCCCACCCACTCCCCAGGGCGCCTGGCCTGTTCTCCAAGGCCCACCCCAGACTCCTGTGCTATGCTCCTCTCCAGAGGAGACACTGACACCCAGCAGAGACTAACATGCTCTCTGCTTGCAATATTCCCATGTGTAGGTCTAGCCCTGTAGTTTGGGACAGCTGCACAGATACGTTAAGTGGTAGAAAGCTGCACTTACGGTACAGTGGTACAGTGTTTGCAATAACTGGCTCCTACGGTGACCGATCCAAACCAGCTGCTTTGTAACACTGCAAATACTGGGAGAGAGACATTGCTGGCATGCTAAAGATAGCAAGCAAATAGTAAGAGATGAATCATTACAGAATCATGTCCCTCACCAGTATCAGTGGGTGATGAGCTGCTTCACGTAGCTGTGGGCTTATCAGCAGAGTGAGCCCAAAGGTCAGTAAAGTTTTGGATTAAACCGAGATGCAACCTTGGATTTATCGACAGATTACCAAGGCTATCGCTGTCATCTGTGACTCTCGCTGCAGCAAATGAAGCACGTGTAGGAAGGTGCCGTGGTAACAGTGTGCGACAGACCCGTCAGCAGACTCCAAAGCTCATAAATAATCTCCCACAGCCTTCCCTGCCTTACATTTATGGCGGTTGCATTTTTGAACATTCATCTGGCGGAAGGACAGTCTTTCCAAACAGCCCTGAAAGCGGCTTCTCAACTTTCTGCACAATTATGTCCACTTTTTGTCAATGTTCTTGTTCAACGAAGTTTAACAATCTCCTGCTTTTGCCATGTTATTTGGTGGTTTGATTTAAATCTCAGATTTTTTTTTGGTTCTATTTTAATCAATTTAATCAATAGATTGTTATTATACAAACTAGGTATAAAAAGAAGAATCTAGGTTGAGTTGACAGGAAAGCAAAGGCAGAAAAACACCTCATACACCTAATGCAGGGCTATTCAACTCACAGTCCTCAAGGGCCGAGCCCTGCTGATTTTCCAGCCTTCCTTCACCTGTGAGCCAGGTGTGAAGCCTCTGACCAATCAGAATCAGTAATTAATAAACTAACTACCTGGGAGAACTGAAAACAAGGCCTGGATTTGGAATCGAGGGCCTGAGTTGAATAGCCCTGACCTAATGTGATTTCTTTCTTTTCACTTAAAAATTCCTTATAAGACATTACTCTGTCCCAGAATGCAGATCTTGTAAGTAGAATTTTGGAAATCGCCCAAAATAAAGTTTATATTAAATAACTGCTCAGAGTGCAGCAATTCTAAGCATAAAGGAAGTCACATTATCTTATATCTTCCTTCTGGTAATATGATCAAAGATGAGAACTTGAAGGTAGAGATCCGACCGGAGGGGGGTCCGTAAGGAGCTGTCCCCAGGTTTAGCCTAACAGGAAAATGGACACGCAGCTTGGTTATTAACAGTGCTTTCCAGTAGCAGCTGGGAGAGATCAGGCCCCCTGCAAACCTTCAAGGAAACAACAGAAAGACTCACCTGTGGATCCACATTCAGGATTTTTTGGTCTCTCTTGTTTACAAAGAGCAAGCCACCTAAATCCTCGGTCCAGACTTCAAAATTTGGACTTGAGTTGGTGGTACAAATATGTGTGTTCCAATTGTAGAAACTTGTAGACACAAAAATAAGGAGATTGTCTAGTCCATTATTCGTAAAGCATTTTACTTATCTGGTTTAAAGAAGTCAGTCAAAAACGTTACATTTCTGTGGCCTTTAAAATCACTTCATGTTTCTAAGGGATTTAATAGTTTTTAAACAATACAATCCATGATAAACGACACAACAAAAGTTACTTTATAGGCACAGTCTAATTAGGAATTTAGACTGAGTTAATGCACACATTATCTTGAGACCTTACAGAGACGCAACTAGCCAACAGACAATTCTGGATTTCACTAGATTATTCATCGCTTTGTAACTATGATTACTGGAAAACAGTATGATTTGTTCAGAAGAAAGCAGTGTTACCTTAAGTCAGTTGATCTTGGCAAAAGTTTCTTAGTTCTTTTGAAATACTGTCTGAAGTCTTCAGTTTTCAGTCTGTGGCAGTAGTCTATGTACCCAGATATTTCATGTCCTAGAAAATTGTGATCCCTAATGAAGATAATAGACTGGAAAAAGCAAAAGAAGAAGAGAACAGATGATAACCAAGGCTGAGACTCCCAGAAAATCAGTCATAGGCCTGACAGCTATTAAGAGATGGAAACTTTGTCATAAAGCACCGTATTCAAATAGTATCCACACTTCAGAAACTGATCTGGAGATGGGTTCCTCCTGCAATCAGACAATGACAAGGCAACCACTTCACAGATAAACTCAGCTTACCACCAGAACTGGGGAGTTCCCAGTCGAATTTATGCTCAGAACTGAAAAACTTTGAGAAGCCTTACACAGACTACTCAAATTTAAATTGCATTTTGGATGCACACATCTACATAACCACTAGGGGGCAGTGAAGACAAAGTCATTCATTTTTGGAGCAGTAGAAGTGTTGTGGTAATACTGTGGATTGCCAGTGGGGGACTTTTTCACACTATACGGTAAATGAAGTTGAGTAATCATGCACCTACAGTCATTTTCCCACTCCTGTTAGGCTCCTCCCTCTCTGCCAGGGCTCTCAGGAAGTTGTCCTCCAAGTCTGTACCCATGCTGGCCAATGGCCTGCTCAACAGCACATTCATACAGAGAGAAGTCAGCTAAAGTCAGTGTTTTAGGAGTCCATATTACCTTACACTGCATCCATAGGAGGCGCTGTCGACCTCCTAAGACCCCGACCACAGTGGCATAAGCAGAAAATTTTGATTGCAGGCGGCCATTAGGGGCCATTCATATTTTGGGGGGCGACCTCACATTGCACAGGATCTATTCTATGGTTCCGCTTAGAAAATAAAACAATGCATTTTGTTTTTATTATTTTGATGTTGGGTGCCAAAAGGGGTGGCTACATATTTATTTTGGACGGCCATGGCTGCCCCTTAGATCCACCCCTGCCTGACCAGGATAAGCGACTGGAAGATAGAAAGATGGATCATTGACTCTCATAGTGTGGTGAGTGTTGTACCTCTTCAGGGGACATTGAGAGGGACCAAACAGATGAACTCACTGCTGTTGCTGCTCACTCCTAGCGAGCCTGGACTCCTCCTCTGCCACTGCTTTCGCCCTCTCAAAGTCCTCCCTCGTCATGACTTTTCTGCTACCCCTATAGCCCAGTTGCACCAGCTGACGTGCCAACTCCTCATCCTGAGCAGCGGGAGAAACAGCACCACCGTAACACCAGCGAGAGCTTTCCACATAGCTCTGAAAGCCGCTTTTCAACTTTCTGCACGATTATGTCCACTTTTTGTCAGTTTTTCTTGATTATTGATCAATCAGTGACAATGAGAAAGTGGAATATGACTATCATTCAGAATTACGGAGCTCAGGAGCATATTTACACTGACATACTTACACTGACATACTGACAATATATCTAAGCGTTTGGAATCTCATGGTCAAGACGATGCAGATTGTTTTCATTTTGGTGGTGCTGATTAATTCTGGAATAATTTGCTTTTGAGGCATGAGTTAATTGTTTTGGGCAAGTTACAAGCTTTTGCAGCTAAACCATAGTGTTATACTGTATGTATGAACTGTTTTGAGAAATGCTCTTATAATCATTTCAGGAAAGCAGGTTTCCTGAAATGTGCTAAAGCAATCGAGAATAACTATAAAGTATTTACATATACAGATTTCTGTGATATTCTGTACTGAGTGTAAATATTCTGAAATTGTACGTTTTAAAATTATATAAAACAAAAAAATATAGCGTAATCGCATTGGCGTTTTCTCTAATTTAACGTAGGCCTATTTAAAACTTTTAATTGTGTCTAATTACAGACGCATAATACACGACTTAAAAATTTCCAACCAGATTGTATGTCGGCGTGTTGTAATGAAAAGTTAAACAGCTTTACCTCCAGGTAAAACAGATCGAGGGGCTTAACGTGATTATCCAGCAAATCCTCGTAGGAGCGAAACGTCTCCGCTGGGTGTCCGCGAGACGCGTCCGCCTCCATCTTGTTTATCCGCGCGCTGCTCCGTTTCCATGGTGATCAAAGGGGAACCCCAACAGGTGGCGCTGTGCCGCTCTCCAAAAGATTATCACAACGGAGAAATTATATTATACTTATTCGTTCCTAAATCGTTATATTTTGTTTCATCACACACACACAGAGTAATCATCTGAGCAGGTTATTGTAGGAATACGTAGTGTTAAAATAATTCCATTTTATATGATTAGTTACAGCTATTTGTAACACTTCTAAATTCTCAGAGAAGTGTCAGGTTCCTGTTTTCATGCACCAGACTGTACCCAACCTCCAAGCCTGGAGAACAGATTAATCTACACAGACTGGTATATGTAAATTGGTCATTCTGACAATTTAAGTAACACTGATGCTGCCAAACTTCGATATATGAATCCAGCTTGTGGGATACTTTCCAGGAACAGATGTCATTCACCTAGTGCACTCAAAACAACTCTATGTAATGACATGTTCTAATGAGAGTATAATGTAACATTCTCGCTTTCAATCATACTGGCCACTCTGTACATCGTGATAGTGTTGTGAGATCTGAAGATCCTCTATGATATACTGTCTGCACCCCCCCCCCCTGGATCATACAGACAGCAGCATTGAATGCAAAGCAGGCATTCCTGCTTTCATATTAGTGTGTCACTCACACACAGGAATTGAGTCTGACAACACAAGGCTGGTTAATAGGATTTTATTAGGCTTGAGGGGTAAGAAAAAAGGGCATTTTCCTAGACACAACTATGCTCGCATTGTTGTTCATTAATACTCTAACACACCCCCAGCAGAACACCTCCCACACAAACTAAATCATACTCAATAGGTTTCCTTCTGAGCTATTACATACAAAACAAAGACGTCCAAAAGACTTGGATATGACATGACATTAAGTACAGTAGAGAACTGTGTGAGGTCAGTGTCACTGGGTGTCTGGCTTTCCCTACATCTTAGTGTTAACTACGTGTGAGCCTTCATTTGAACTCCAGGGTAAAAATACTTATAAAACCACACACTTGGGTCCAAGACATTAACAAAAGTGTTCATCTCACAAAAATAATCATTGTAAATTTCTGGTAAAATGTAGAGAGTCTGTCACGCTACATGATCTCGACCGTCTGAATCTGCAGCTGGTTGAGCGAGCCGTCAGACTCGTTGGAGAGCTCGTCGTTCTGAATGAGGGCCCCTTCCGTGTGAGTCTTTACGTGTTTCTTGAGGGTCGACTGATCGCTGTACGTCTTGCCGCATTCACTGCAGGAGTACAGCTTCTCCTTCGTGTGCACTTGCTCGTGCCGTTTGAGATGCCCGGAGCGGCTGAAGCTCTTCTTGCAGTAGGAGCAGCTGTACAGTTTCTCGCCCGTATGTGTGCGCAGGTGCAGCTTCAAGCTGCTCGCCACGCTGAACTTCTTGCCGCAGTCCTTGCAGGTATACGGCTTCTCGCCCGTGTGTATCCTCATATGTATGGTCAAATGCCCAGCTTGACTGAAAGTCTTTTCGCAAAGAGTACAATGGTAAGGTCTCTCCCCCGTATGCACTCTGTAGTGCGTTTTGAGGTCTCCCAAGCCACTGAACCTCTTTCCGCACTGCGAGCACCCATAGGGCTTCTCTCCAGTGTGGATCCTCTGGTGCATCCTCAGGTTCCCTGCATTGCTGAAGGACTTTTCACAGTAGCCACAATGGTAGGGTCTCTCCCCCGTGTGAGTGCGCAGGTGCACCTTGAGCTGATTGTGCTCACTGAAGCGTTTGCCACAGTGCGGACAACAGTAAGGCCGCTCGCCGGTGTGCACGCGCTTGTGGATCCTGAGCTGGCCTGGCTGCCCATAGCTCTTCCCGCATACGTTACAGCTGTACGGTTTCTCGCCGGTGTGTGTGCGTTTGTGCGCCTTCAGCAGGTCAGCGCGGCTGAAGCGCTTGCCGCAGTAGTTGCAGCAGTGCGCCTTCTCCCCACTGTGCGTCCGCAGGTGGATGTTAAGCGAGCCCATGCGACCGAAACTCTTATCGCAGAGGGAGCAGTGATAGATTCCTTGAGGGATTCTGGGGGACTCAGCAGCATCTAGAACCCCAGCAGAGGTGGAGGCCCGGGGGCTCCCAGAACCTTCTGGATCTTGCTGTTCCACAGACAGATCCTCACCCGCTCTGCCACCTATATCCACGGCCAGGTCTGAAAAAAGTACCTGAGACAGATTTTCCACTGCCAGCTCCTTATCAGCCCCCCCCTCCTCTGACCTAGCATCTGCCTCCTGTACCTCCGACTCCCCCACATCAGAGGCCTCGTTATCGCTGAGTCCTGCGTTAAGGTGATGGTCGGATATGATCGTCACACTCACTTCGCAGTCACTCTCTCTGGAATCCAGCTCTGCACTGCCAGGTGAGCTCATGTTCACATAATGATCTGGGTTTATGTACCCGGCGTCACAGTTCTCGGTCTTTATCTGCATGGCCACTACTCCGGACGGAAGCTTCGCTTTGGTCATGTCCACGGCACAGACATCATCCATGTCTGGCACTTGGTTCAGACTCGGGCTTGTACCCGCTGACACCAGCGTGCCAGAGGCGTCGTGATCGCCATCGAGTGCCACCCCCGTGAGCAACTTGCTCTCATCCTCTCGCTCCTCACCGCTACCGCAGTCGCTCATCTCCTGCTTCTCGGTCTTGTGCTGCTCCAGAAAATGGTCCTCTCCCACGCGGATCTCTCTCCATGCCATGGTGCGCCGGGACACTCGTCTCTGAGCATCTGGCTGCTTGCGGAGGCACCATACCTCATTGGCGGAACCTAGGAGGACACTGCCTTTCTGCTGGACCTCTGCAGGGAGTACAGATGGAGAGCAACAATGTTAGAAACAGCACAATACAGCTTCAGAATGTATAACACCATAGACTTCTGTGCCAGCCCTGCTGTGGACAGGTAAGAGGTTTAGCTGTAAATATGTAACACTGGTTTACACATTAACTGGGCCACAGGTCATAACCCATCTGCTCTGTGAGAAGACGGGGCTGGAAAATGTGCTGCTTTCAGTTTTAATGCTGAGGCTGCAGAGATCTTTCAAATGCTTTACTGTAGTAGTTAGGAAAGGAGTTTTCCCAAGTCTCTGCAGAAGCCCTTCTAAATACCAGGTCAATGTGCTGAAGCAACACGGATTCAGTGTCCCTTTGATTCATGATAACTCAGCAGACGTGACCTTATACACATATTAGATGGCATAACGGAATTGATGCAATGGACACTTTCTAGTGTAAGTGACAGCACATTAATTTCCTATAGAAAATGGTAATTATTAGCAGGTTAAACCGCACGCAAATATGAGAATGACCACACTGCATGGCATGTTTACTGCATCGCAAAGAGCCTCCTTTGAAAAAGTAACGGATTATTATTGAAAATAATTCCATCCCTGTCAGTACATACATAGCTCAGCTTTTCCCTTGATGAAAAATCTCAAAGTATGGATGGGTTATGAAAAAGCTGAATGTAAACCCACGGCCTTTTCACGGTCCGGCATATCTTTGGGACCCCCGCACGCCATTTAGTATCAGCCCATGGCCCTCCCCGGAGACCAGCCCCGGCATCGCTCACTTATCCCGGCCTCCCGCGGCTCCTCCGGGCCCACCAGCCTCCGTCTAAGGCTCTCGTTCTCCGTCTCCATGTGCCGGATCCGCTCCTGGTACTCGGACAGGGTCTGCTCCACCGAGTCCAAGATGTCATTCACGGTGGCCTTAAAGATCTCGTTCAGGGACGACTCCAGAAAGGCTTTGAGGTTTTTGGATCGTGACATGGTGGCCTGCTGCCTGCCCCCGGGAAAGGTGTGCGGTGACCGGTACACGACGTATCGGCGACGCTATTTTGATCGAGCGCTACCGGACGGCTAATTACGGCTATTGTATCACGTCGAGTCAAGACCGCTGCACCAACAAAGCGATAATAAATAACGACCTCGGCTGTGTTCGAGCACACGTATGCACATTCTGGCATACTGCCACCTGCAGGACGGGAGGCCACATCGCCGTAAACACCTGAACACGCCGCGTCGCGCTGCCGCCTACATGGGCGGAAGATACATAAACATATAAATGGAAGGTAAACTTTTCTTTGCCGTGGAAGGTATTATTGTGTCGGCGCTAAAGGAGTCAGGCAAATATTAATCTTAAGCATATTTTACTATACTGTATATAATTGGTTATTTGTCTGACTTTTATTTTGGTAGGTATACCTTCCGTCTGCTCGACGTACTTCCGGGTAACAGCTTTACGGAAGTGGTTTCGGTTCCTAATTCTGGGTAGAACGGGCAGAGTGCAGATTAAAAAAAAAAAAAAAAAAAGCAGAAAGTTTTGGCTTAACATAGAAATACCCGATGGATTCGTATTGGCGGAAGCAGGGGGTTTGTCGAGGCTAACGGCCGTAATATCAGGGCCGCAATATTAAGGCAGGATGAACAATAAATCAACCACAAGGGGTCGTTTACTGCACCCGTACTATTCACTCAGACAACTTGCACACTTCCCACCGCGCGACCTGACTACCCATCACACGCGCACCACTATTTAAAACAATTAACATTAAACACTATATGTGACCTTACTTTACAGCACAATGACGACGATGAATATACCAAGCAATTAACATTAATTACAAGCTGGCATCGGTCCAGCCCGTCGCGCTGCTCTCCCGGTCCTGCCAGTGCTACAGCATGCTACTCTTACCCCATATGCTGATAATTTAACTGCCAAAAGTATCGGTGATATTGTGCTTAAATTTTAAAGCAGAAAACATTTTGTTAAAAAATTATATAATTCAACGTGGTTTTAATTTATTGATTGTACTACTTAAACAATAGGTTTAGGATATGAATGCCCTATCAAAAATCAGCATTCATTATTCCTACTTGTATTTATTGAAAGGTACGTGGTTTGAGGGTTTGCTGCTTTGCAAATACAACGTTAAGGAAACCCCTGTTAAATTACTCCACTTTCTTGATTAAACAAATACTCTTAACTTAGACTATAACCTTCAACTAAAACTTATAACCTCAAAACTATCTTATCTGGGATATTTAATAAAACTCTTAATTTTTTATGGATTGGTTTGGGGGAAAAAAAATCATCTTTGTTGTTCAACTCTTTAACCAAAATACTATAATTTGTAATTACAAAGGAGAAAGATGGGATACCTGTGACTGTGAAAGATGTAATTTTATAAACAATTTGTAAGAGTTTAGAGATTGAATTTTGAATAAAAATAAGAAAAAATTTAAAAAGTACTATTTGAAATTTAGAATAGACAGTATGGCCTAGCATATTACAAAGCATTCTACCACACAATTCTGTTGCACTTAGGCAGGTGATGTGCAGGACTGGGTTCCGTTGTGTTTTTATAACATTAGCGGCACGCTATGTTTAGCCTTCAAAGTCTTTATAGCATTGCGTGGAAGCGTTGATCACATGGTCAGGAGCCTGTCAGAGTGATGCTAACATCTGTCCACAAAATATTGGTAATGCTGAAGCACAAGGCTTGTGTCCGTCCATCTGCTCCAACCCGTCTGCCTGTCTGATCGTTTTCGGTAGTCTTTGGTGATACTGGGTGAAAACAGGCTGAGCTGGGTGGAGCAGTTGACGAGTCAGTATGCAAAGTGAAAACCGTGGCTTGTATTATCAGACCCAGAGGGGAAATCAACCCTTATCACATCTTTGCTTGATTCGTAGATCACATTATAGAATTCTAGATATTATATGGCAGCAAACTTGCAAGCATTTGTAATAAACCCCAGAAATGTATGTGCTGCAAGAATGAGTTTATACTAAATCCTCATCAAACCTCTGGCTGCCCCAGGGCTGGGGTCCTGCCACAGGTACCTTCATGCATACTGCAACTCTCAGTCAAGCTCACATTTCTTGCCCAGGGGTGTCCTTTGTTACGGCTGTAGGCCACAGACTTCTGCACAAGGGTATATGTCATGGAAGCAAGGGCAAACTGAACCTGGGTAGAAATCCCTCAGGCTGTTCCGGTTACAGGTATCTGACGACACACTTTACATGCTCACAGATGTGCTGAAATAAGCAGCAGAACAAGTTTTCTGGAACTGAAACATAAAATAGACAAAATGTGGTGAAATGCCATGCTGTCTGCTCTGCAGTCCTTTGTGTTTCCCTCTCTGCCCGCCTGCGCTGCAGTCCTTTGTGTTTCCCTCTCTGCCTGTCTGCTCTGCAGTCCTTTGTGTTTCCCTCTCTGCCCATCTGCTGTGCAGTCCTTTGTGTTTCCCTCTCTGCCCGTCTGCTCTGCAGTCCTTTGTGTTTCCCTCTCTGCCCGCCTGCTCTGCAGTGCCTCTGTGTTTCCCTCTCTGCCCGCCTGCTCTGCAGTGCCTCTGTGTTTCCCTCTCTGCCCGCCTGCTCTGCAGTCCTTTGTGTTTCCCCCTCTGCCTGTTTGCTATGCAGTGCCTCTGTGTTTCCCTCTCTGCCCGCCTGCTCTGCAGTCCTTTGTGTTTCCCCGTCTGCTCTGCAGTGCCTCTGTGTTTTCCTCTATGCCCACCAGCTCTTTGTTGGCGCTGTGTTTGAGTGGCAGGCTGCAGGTACATGGAGTTTGTGCTGCTCTCTGAAAGGTAAGCAGCCATGTTTGAGATTCAGGCCCCTCTGCTGCTGTTTTACTTATAATCTATAAGCGTCTGAGCTGCTCTGCATACAGCATTAGGAATGAATGGGTAGGAGGCGTCTGGTCTCCTGCATTCTGTGTGTGTGTGTCCTGTAAATTAAATTTAATATATATTTTATTGATCCCATGGAAAAATTCATGCACATACAGCAGCGAGTGCGTAGAGCACAGTTGATACATATAGTGTAAGACAAAGTGCAAAGACAATATACACAATGCAAACAGGTAAACGTAGTGCAATCAGATCAGAAAGTAGACTGTACACAAGTGGAATACCTTGAAAAACAGAATATTTTGAATATTAAGAACAAATATTTAAGGATAATAATAATAAATTAATTGTGATGGTATTTGCGCAATGAATAAAACAAATAGGGCCAGATTTGTACTATTGCCTAGGTGGGTCACTTCCTGGCATGTTATGGCTGGGGTGGAAAGTGGTAAGTAGGGAGGAGGGGTTGTGGTGTCTGATGGCAGCAGGTAGAAACAACCCCCCCCAGCATTTAGCACACTGTGGTGGAATGAGCCTGTGGCTAAATGTGCTCCAGAATAGCGCCCCCCCCCCTAAGTTGGGTGGGCAGAATTGTTCATAATGCTGTCCAATTCATTCTACAGTCCTCTTCTCTGCCACTGTTTCCAGTGAGTCTAGGGTGTGTCCTGTGATGGAGCACATGTCAGATTGCATCAAACCAAGCCTGTGACCACAATGGTTAACAGAGGAACACATTTAACAAGTAACACACACACACACACATACACAAGTATTTACAGAAATCTTAGTCAGTCTCAAATGTAAATATGCATACCTGGAAGTACAGAAACTCATACGATCGACAGAGAACTGTTTAGTTCTCAGTTTATTCACCATGGTTTTACAAAAGAGCAGTGGAATATTATAAGAAGTAGTGTTGATATCAGATCCATCATTTTGTGTTTGGCTGTAGTTTGTACAAAGCGTGTCGAGATCCATAGAAGCAGAACGGCTGAAGTTTACCATGTTGGCACAGGTGGGCGTGGGTGGGCCTGGCCCCGCCCAGATGGGACTCGACCCCACCCAGGGGGCATTCCCAGCGAGCAACACAGAACATTAAAACACTTGTGTCTGACAGGTGTTTGTTTGTGTGGTTAGGTCACTCGAAGGAAGTGTGCTGTTCAGAGGCTAATTGATTTTTCTTTCTCTTGGTCCATTTGGTCTTAGTAATGCCATGGGTCATTTAAAAAATGTAGTTGAGTCTATAGTGTGGTTTTGTTGCCAAGTAAAATGTTATGGGAGTGGCCCATCTGATTTTTTTTGCCGGCCCACTCACGCTGTGATTTCTGGCTCCGCTATTGGAGGAAGAAGCCCTGGGTGGAGCTGATTTTCACATCACTACCGGTTTTATTCACAGCTCCTCTGTGAGGCTGCTGGTGTTTGTGAAAGCCAACACTGACTGGAAGGTATTTGGCTTGTGGTTAAACTGCCCTACTTTCCGTAGGAGGGGTTTTCAAGACAGGAAACAGGAAATGAGGAGGAGCCAAGTGGGAGATGCTTGTCTGTGGCATGATGGGCAGCCATTTTTATTAGAGCAAAAACCACAATTAATAGGAGGAAATATGGTGGATTCTATAATTATTTTAGAAATGTTATAAATACAATGGACGAAATAGGATGAGAAAAATGAAGCATTATAACTTTCTTCTGCAATCTTATACTCCATGTGATTTCATTAAAGGTATCATTAAATATAGGATTCACAGACTTTTACTTGACTTTTAGATTTAAGACTTTTTATTTCAAATATTAAAAATTGCTGAAGGTATCATCAAACCTAACCAGAAAGGAACAATTCTGTATTTGACCATAAAAGATCATAAAAGAAAATTAAATGACAGACACCCACAGTTCAGGCTCATGGTAACCTGAGAATATTTTTCGTAAGTATGATATTATAAAATACTAAGTGTTGTTTATTTCAGTGCTGGTCATATATTCATGAAGGATCCTCTTTTTCATTCTCCTTTGTCTTTGTCACCCCTATTTTCCTCTTTTGCCCAATTTCATGGTGTTTAATAAAAGCTACAGTAACCATGGCAATAACAGGCAAATTGGTACTTTAAAATGCAGGAAGGTTTAAAGTTGAAAATGTTCACCATAGGGTGAAATTTACTTAGTTTATTTATTGAAAAAAGGTACAGCATTGGTTGATGTCTTAAAACATCTTCTCGTTCTCTTTACTCGTGGTGCTCTCCTTTGCTTAATCGCTGTGTGGATATTGTTCGTCTGTGGCAGGAAGTGTAACTGTGCAGTAGTTTTTCAGCAAGATGTACTGCGAGGAGCGTCTTCTGGGTTTGTGAGAGGCTGAACAGGGAACGTGGAAGAGATCATTGCAGAAAGTGTGATTGAGCAAAATAACACCTGTAAGTGTAACTTTTCATCTGAAAATGGCTTTAGAAACTTCTACGTCTAATACGTATTTGGTGCCGGTAGCTTAGAACAGCTAGTGAACTTACCGGAAAGATTTGTACGGTCTCCATTTTGAAAGCCTTGGGTGTCAGTCGGCTGAATGATGGTGAGGTGGAGAATTGTTGTGTGTGGTAACATTTTCTCAGCTACGTCCATCACTTGAAGGTTGAATCGTAAATATTAATGATTTTAACGTTATACTTCAGTCAGGGGGAAAAGTAGTGAAGTTGGTGTTAGTCATTGAGGAAGTTATTTGTTTGTGTGTGCGTGGAGTTCTAATCCATTTGTGACTTTGTTCTCTCGAAAAGCGGCCGTCCAGTGGCGCATGCTGGGGGGACCTCAGCACAGTGCCCCCAGTTTGCCGGAAGGAGTCACGCCATATGTTAATGATAAGCACGTCAGCATGGACACCTTCCTGGCCAGAAAGGAGGAAGAGTGAGCGCCTAACCACAGGGCTGTTTCCTCTGAGCGTGTTTTCACTGTTAGCCTGCAAGCCTCCATGGAGGAAGAGCAGCCGTGTCTGACGACATTGGGCGGCTGGGGCTCCGAGGACCGGCTGCAACCGGACTTGTGGACATGCACAGAGGACATTACCATGGAGGTGAGGGCCCAACTTGACATGGTGGGAGAATTAGCACTGGGGGTGACTTCCCAGATGGGTTCATCGCAGTCAAGCTCAGATGATGATCTGGACAGTGCTGAGGAAGGTACCCCGGACATGGACTGGACAGAGAATCCTCTGTCTGTACATCGGTCCCACCTACAGGATCCGGGTGAAGGAGACCAGACAGAAGAACACACAGGTTTATTAATGCGTGCCAGTCCCGAGCTCAGGAAGCCCCATCAGCAGGTAGGGAAGAGGTCTGCGGAGGCTTGTGACAGAATGCATGTGTTGATGTGTAATATGAGCAGAAACGCAGCATCGCAGTTTCAGAAATGACTACTGAGACATGAATACGTATGGGATAGAATGGCATAGAAATACAGAGACTGTCACATTCTACGGTTTAATTATTTGCATTTTATAAGCATTGATCACTTATCTACTCATGATGACAGTAATCTGGAGGGAGGTTAGGGCGTCTGCAGAGCACTATTATAATGAATTTCATGTTTAATCACATGATCCTGAGCTTTAAAGCAAGAGTTAAATACCTGGAAGGAAGACTCTTTGATTGGATGTTGTGCCTGTCACTCAGGGTGGCCCTATGGTCATATTTAACCTATCATCTTTTGTATGATTGGCTGTGAGTTGCATCAAAAACAACTCACAGTAGGTGAGCTTAAACCACATTAGATATTTTTGGTGATGCAAGACTAAGCTGCAAGCTAGATTTCCGGTGTGAGAGGCATCTGAGCACAGCTTTATATGACTGTGTGATTCTCTCATTTCTTATTATTATAGAAAAATAAAACGTAACCGATCTGATGGTTTACCACACAAACAGGGCATTGGAACCCCCCCCCCCCAAATATTTAGTTTCATTCATCCACCCCAATAAGCACACAGAGTGTATTGATTTAAGAGTTGAGCCCTGGGCGGGGCCTGTTTCTGCATTAATGGCTGTGTTTTACTCTGTGATTTATGGATGTGTCAGCTGAATGCTCCAGGCCCTTCACTGTGCTGAGGAGCCCATTATCAATATGAGACATTTGTGCCTTTCTGTAGCTGATTCTGCTTATCAATGTGGACTCCAGTGAAGTGTTCATGCCCCCAGTGGCCTATCGATGCCCATTTGCAGTGTGATGGTGTTGTGGTTACAGGACGTTGACCTCTTAAGCCAAGACAGAAAGGATTGTGGGATGCAGGAGGATGATGGTGCTGCATCCAGACAGACTGCAGAGGACAGAGGTATAGTCCCTATTGTTCCATTTATTCAGGACACCTTGTACAGTGTACAGATGGGGTTGTTGGTGTCTAATGTGAGCTAACAGAGCTATTGGCTGCTGACTGATTTACAAATTGACTATGAATTAATAGTGTTGCGTGTTAATATTACACCCTGAAAAGTGATGTCCCTTTCATTGCTAAACATTGGGCTTCGACAATTGAAACGGTTTTATTTACAGTGATATGAATAAACCTCTCTTTGCTCATAGCTTTGCATATAATGCTGAGAATGTGGTTTGACAGAATTAGCCATGCTTGCACATTTCACCCTTCATCGTCACTCTCCTCAGTGCTGTAATCAGATTCTAATCTGTATACTGTGACTCTTTAGAACTTGTAATACCTGTCAGCTAACTCACTTCTGTGATGGTCCTCTGATCTGCAGAGTTTGTGGACTCACACCTGGGTGAATCCCGACAAAAGGCCGAGCGGGATTCTTTGGAGGAAGCCACACATTCTGAAAGTGACACCAAGAATACTGTCATACCTGGACCTGGTGGACGGAGAGCTGAGGTCGAGTGTCCAGCTTTGGAAAGGACCAGTGCCTTTGTGAGGGCCATGGAGGATGTGGGGCTGCCTAATGGGTTAGAGACATCCACAACGATGGCAGATACCGCAGCAGGGGAAGAATCAGACTGTCCTGAAGCCAGCACTGCAGCATCACACGAAAACCAGACGGGTTACTCCACTGAGGAGGAAGAGGAGGGGACTGACAGAGAGCAGGGGGAGGAGAGACACACCGGGACCACGCCCCCTCCTGGAGGTGAGGAGGAAGAGGAGGGGACTGACAGAGAGCAGGGGGAGGAGAGACACACCGGGACCACGCCCCCTCTTGGAGGTGAGGAGGAAGAGGAGGGGACTGGCAGAGAGCAGGGGGAGGAGAGACATGCCGGGACCACGCCCCCTCCTGGAGGTGAGGAGGAAGAGGNGCCGGGACCACGCCCCCTCCTGGAGGTGAGGAGGAAGAGGAGGGGACTGGCAGAGAGCAGGGGGAGGAGAGACATGCCGGGACCACGCCCCCTCTTGGAGGTGAGGAGGAAGAGGAGGGGACTGACAGAGAGCAGGGGGAGGAGAGACACGCCGGGACCACGCCCCCTCCTGGAGGTGAGGAGGAAGAGGACCCCAATTTACAGCATCATAATACTGAGAGGTAAGCCGTCGATTTTGGGCCCTATGACCGCATATAACATTGGTCCCCCAACCCTGAGCTATCCAGTTATGTTCTAAATTTTTTAGGGTCACTAATTTTTTAACATGAACCTGTAAGTCACTATGTGTTTTGTGATTTGGCTGTTGTAATATTTCAACCTCTGAAGTTCAATGCTTTTCATCTCCCAACTCTTTCATATATTTATACAAAAACAGTCAGCTGACTGAAACATGATACAGCTGCAAACATTTAAAATCAATTGTGGTGAACGTGTAATGCAGGCCTGTTGTGTTTCAGGGACCATCATGCACCATTGGAGAAATACGGAAACACAGAAAAAGATCAGAGCAGCAGTCCTGATCTTAGAAAACACCTTCAGCAATTAGAATGGCTGAAGAATGCTGAATATTTACAGCAGTCAGAAGAGCCAGAACAACAGGACTGGCTTAGGGTGTGTGAGGAACCAGAGGTGAAGGGCGACTCAAGGCAGACAGATCACATGGACCAGTCTGAACCGGAGAAACAATCACAAGAGCAGAGAGAAGAAGGATCAAAAGAAAGAGATCACATGGATCAGTCTGAAGCAGAGAAACAATCGCAAGAGCAGAGAGATGAAGGATCAAGGCTGATAGGTGACATGGGTCAGTCTGAACCAGAGGATCGATCAGACGAGTTAAGCACAACATGCCCAATACAACAGGCAGAGCTGTCTACCTCAGGATACATGGACAGGGCTGCAAATAATGAGCCGGTCAGCCAGCCAGCGCAAGCAGAGGAGCAGGCGATCCCCCATGCTAACGGGCGGTGCGTGGACAGGGAGGGGGCACGCGCACTGGCCGAGAGGCTATACAGGCTGGACAACATGCGACGCACAGAGGTGGTCAAACACATGGACAAAGAGTAAGTGAAGAAGCAGGTGGCTGATGCAGCACTTCCACAGTGTAGAGGGGGAATGCTGGGTGATGCTGCGTCCATGGTTACCACTGTAATGCTGGGTGATGCTGCGTCCATGGTTACCACTGTAATGCTGGGTGATGCTGCGCCCATGGTTACCTCCTGTAATGCTGGGTGATGCTGCGCCCATGGTTACCTCCTGTAATGCTGGGTGATGCTGCGTCCATGGTTACCACTCCTGTAATGCTGGGTGATGCTGCGTCCATGGTTACCACTGTAATGCTGGGTGATGCTGCGCCCATGGTTACCACTCCTGTAATGCTGGAGCAATAAGTGATGCTTCAGACGGGCATATCCCAATGGAAATGATGAGATTCAATGATGTAGTTCGTAGTTTAGTTTTTATAATAATTTTCCTGAAACATACTGAATGAAGCCCTGCCCATCTACACCAAAAAATATGGTCTTTGAATGGCAACTTAATAAAATGATCACCCAGCCTTTCTGCTGGTGCCAGAGATTGTGGACTAGCAAGGTTTCCGTCAGACCGATGGTTGGGATGAGGGTGCGAAGTGATCGGCTGATCCTCATTCAGAGCTTTCTTTCCCTCTTTGTAGTAACGAGTTCAGCAGAGCCGTGGGGGAAGAGTATCTCAAGTTCTTCCACTTCACTGGTCAGAGCCTGGAGCAGAGTCTCAGGTGTGTCTGTGGGGTAGAATCTCCAGGCGATGGCAGCTACACTGAAATTTCAGAAGATCATCTGGAAAAATAAAGCTAAACTTTAATGTATATCAGTATCAAATTGAGAGAACAGCTGTTGAGGTATGAGAACATGCGTCAACTATGAATAATGCACTTCACTTTTTCATCCATTCCCTCAATCGCAGGTCGTTCCTGAAGGTGGTGGTTCTAATAGGTGAGACGCAGGAGAGAGAGAGGGTTCTGGAACATTTCGCCAATCGGTTTCATCAGTGCAACCCTGACTGCTTCTCCCCAGGTTAGTAGTTTGCCTAGTAGTGCCATGATGCAGGAACAGATGAATATTTCTGGGCTTGAGACTTTGAGTGGATTTAATACCAGCCTGTGCTTCTCTCTCGCCCTTCAGAAGTGGTGCTGACTCTCACCTGTGCTGTGATGCTGCTCAACAGTGATCTTCATGGCCAGGTGAGTAATGTGCAGTAAACGCTCTAGGTGAAATGGTGAGGCGCTACAAGATTTATGCAAGAGTCACACTCTGGTGTTTCCGATGGTTCAAAAAAAGGCGGCCAGTCTTATCCGCGAAGGGCCGGTGTGTATGCAGGTTTCTGGGGTAACCTTTAGGTCAGCTGATCAAGCCCAGGTGTGAGGACTCTTCAGTCAATCAGTTGTCTAATTAGTAATCTAATTAGGGAGTTGCAGTGAAAACCCACATATACAACGGCCATTTTTGAATAAGATTGATCACCCCTGCTTAAAACTACGTAACTTAACTTGAAAACAGTACGCTGGAGTTGAGTCCTTGTACTGCCTTTGGCTATTTGTTTGTATGTAATATTAACTACTTAAAGAGTTATGAGGACAGAGGAAAATGGCTGCATATCTGTGTCTCTGTCTGAAGAACGTGGGGAAAGCTATGTCAGTCTCCAGCTTTGTGTCCAACCTGGAAGGCATGAACGACGGAGGGAACTTTTGCAAAGACTTGCTAAAGGTAAGACATTGGGACTCCCTACTTTCTGCTCTCATTTTCTCCACCAGAAACCGAGAGATTTGGGTATTTTTTAAAAATATTTTCAGATGTATTGCAGTAAGACAGAACTTCCAGCTCATCCAGCTCAATCACCCATGCTAACCCTCCCCTTTGCTTTCCAGAACCTGTACAGCAGTATAAAAAGTGACCCGCTGGAGTGGGCAGTGTGAGTGTGACCTGCCTTTTTACCCCAGAATGGACAGTCCCTCACTTAGTGTTGTTTCTGTCTTGCTTTGTCATTCTAATCATATAAAACAACTTAGAACTCAAACCTACAGGCTCCCTGAAAACTCCCTATCTTGCTTGCTGCCACACACTGTTCCCCTAGTTTAGATAACTAAGTTAGTTATACATTGGATTCTTCCTCTCTCGTTGCCTTTCCCCGAACCCATTCTCCCTTCATTTAACACCTCGTCGGTCTACCTGTCTGCCCCCTACAGGAACGAGGAGGAACTGAAGTGTTCCCTGCTTCCAGGGGAAGATAAGACAGAAGCGCAGCCACGTTCAAAAAGCAACCCCTTCCAGGACGTCCCCCATGATAAGAAGGCCACCGTTTACAAGCACGGCTTGCTGACACGTAAAGCCCATGCAGACATCGATGGCAAACGCAGTGAGTTGGGGGGGGAGACCTGCCTCTCTGGTGTTTGCTGATGGCGATGCTGCAATCACATATGAGACGTCGCATTAATCCTGTACATGTAATGGATAGCGATGTAACATCAGCACTGGATCGGTGGTCTGCCGGTTAGTCACCTGACTGGTGGTCGGAGGTCAGTAGAGCCCAGCTGACAGGGTGAAATATAAACTTTCTGGATTATTGCAGTAAATTGAGTAATACATGGACCATGCGTCATCAGTTAAAGAGTGAAGACGAGTGGCTTCCTCACCTAGACAGAACAGTGCTGGTGCTTGGGCTGAATCCCGAGGATTTACTGCAGGCCACTTAAGGACAGACCTCTGTAGTCTGTCTCATCACTGAGGCCTGAGGACCTCAGCAGCTCACTGGCTCTGGAAACCCAGGAGATCTAGACGCGTGAAATCTGTTCCAGTGTCTCTGAGTCAACGTGGAATGAAAAGATCTGAAATATTCTGTGTATCTTCTAGCTCCTTGGGGGAAGAGAAGCTGGAAGACCTTCTATGCTGTCCTGAAAGGGATGGTGCTGTACCTACAGAAGGTAAGGGTCACTGCAGCCCTGATTCCGATCTACTGCATGGAGCTCTGGTATGTGATGGGTAGGTAGACTGTTGTCCCCTTGGCTTATCAGCAGCTGCTGCATTGTCTGTCCAGGGGACTGAGTATATGTGGTTTCTGAAGCAGTTTGCTGATTTTTTCAGGAATATTCTTGATACGTAGCAAGAAAGATCAGCTGTGGTCAGTTCAGGAGAGCAGCCCGCATGTCTGTGCTGGTGTGACATTATGGGATGGGGATTGGAGGATTATGGGATGCCCTATGGAGGTCCTCATGTTGTTCCACTGATCGTGTTGCCGTTGCCCCTGTCAGGATGAGTACAGGATGGAGTGGCAGAGCTCAGAGGAGGTAGTCAGCGTTCATCACGCCCTGGCTGAGAAGGCCGCCGACTATACCAAGAAACCGCACGTCTTCAGGCTGCAGACTGCCGACTGGAGGGTCTTCCTCTTCCAGGCTTCGTGAGTGTTCGTGTGTTTGTGTCCATCGCTGGTGGTGCTGACCGGCTGGTGCCTGAGCTTCACGCACAGCGCGTGTCTGACCGATATCTGTGCCCCCTTCAGCTCCGCCGAGCAGATGAGCTCCTGGATCTCCCGGATAAACCTGGTGTCAGCCCTCTACTCATCCCCCCCATTCCCCGCAGCTGTGGGCTCCCAGAAGAAGTTCACCAGGCCCATCCTACCCGCCTCCCAGTCCACTCTCTCCATGGTGACTAATCTGAGCACCCATTTGTCCTCTAGTCTCTTATCTGTCTGGCTATTACCTTTAAATTATAGCCAGTGCTTTTATCCAGAGCCACGTATATTTGAGAAAGGACCTAGCATGACTGCCGTAAGGATCTTTGAAGTCATGACCGTGGGGTTTGAGCTGGCGACCTTCTAGTCACTGGCACAGAGACCTAACACATCCCCCCTGTCAGATATGCTGAAGTTTACGTGCATGACCACCCTACCACACATGAAGGTGTATTTAAATGCCCTTCACGATCAGCTGGGTGATACCTATTTAGCGTCAGCAATATGTCTTAAGTCGATACTCCGTTATTATTTCAAACGCCTGCACACTGAGTGGTCTCTGTCCATCGCTTCCCCATAGGACAAACAGCTGGAGTCCCACTGCAGGATGCTGCAGTCCTTCTCTGAGGACCTGAGCTTCCTGACGCAGAGCCTGCCTGAAGGCCGCAAGGCCAAGGCTCGGGAGATGGAGGAATACAAGCTGAGAGAGGAGTATCTGCAGCACGAGGTAGGGACTGCAGGGGGCAGCAAGACCCAGCGGGCCCAGTGTGTGACTCTGCCATGTCATGTGATGTAGATTGCGTAACTCGTACATTGTTCTGCTTTATGCAAAACAGAGACCTGGTTAGCCATATTTGTTTTGGATGATTTTCCAGAAGAGGAAAGCAGGCAGTGCTTCTTACTTCCTCTGTCTCTGTCTCTGTCTGCCTGCAGAAGAGCCGTTATGAGGTGTATAAGCAGATCCTGGAGGTGTGGAAGGGCCTGATCAGAGGGAAGGACGGAGAGCCGGGGGCGGCAGAGCTGGAGCAGCTTGACAGGGAGATGTGTGACATCTCAGACGACGAGCTGGACGAAGGGGCGGGCCTTAAAAAGTCCCACTCCAGCCCATCCATCAATCTGGAGCCCACGCCGCAGCCCACCGTCAAGGTGAAGCGCAACATCTCCGAGAGAAGGACCTACCGGAAGATCGTCATACCGCGGCGCAACCGGGAGCTGTGACCCCGCAGCAGCTTCAGCAGCTTCAGCAGCGTCGCGACGGGTTCGCTTTTATTTTCTTACATTCGGTTATTTTCATCTCCTGATTGTTACAGGAAAAGGTTTACTGAGCTCAACTGTCATTGGTACTGCCATAATATATACATATATATATTTTATTAATTTTGTAATACTTAAATTTTATAATACTTAAGTATTTTTGTTTTCTGACCAAGTAAAATGTAGTTAGATTATTCAAATGACTCTTCAGAAAAAGGTCAATGAATGTTATTGCGCGAAACAGCGTCATCTGTTGTGTGCCCCAAAATTGTCCACTTGAGGGCGCCATTTCACCAGCACTTGAAAATGAAGGCACATGGATGGCTGATTCTTACTGTCTGAATGGCTGATTCTTACAGTCTGAATGGCTGAATCTTTCCACACCTGGGGGCCACACTGTTTGCTGTTTTCTGCTCCCTTTCTTATAAGACATCATTTCCCCTAAATTATGTGTCACTTTGCAAAAATAAATTTTGCACTTTTGTAACCTTGAAGATGCCGCTGAGCTTGCAGTTTTTTCCCCCCCCAATAAGAACAAAATGGTTTCCTGCTCTGTTGTGTGACTGAGTGCCTGAGTCCTTGTTCATATCATCACAGTGATTCACATTGACATTTATATTACTCACAATTCTCACCACATTTTTAAAGAAAGTCATCCTCATTATGTCAAAATCATTATGTTTACATGACGTTAGAAAAAAATCTAATTATTGTGTTAGTCTGACTAAAACCGGACTTTTAAAGTATATGTAAATGTGTTAGTCTGACTGAAATCCTACTAAATCAAATTTTTCAAAGTCGGACTAATGTGGTTGGTAGTTGATTTACTCCTGCATGTAAGCGTTCAGTCAGACCCAAGCGGGCTGGGGCGCTCTGCACACGCTCTGCACACGCCCTGCACACGCTCTGCACACGCTCTGCACACGCTCTGCAGCTTTGACCCGGAAGTAACAGAAGAAGCCAACGAATCACGGCTAAATCCAGACCATTCATTTTTGGGCTGACGAAGAAGCAAAGTGTCAGCTCTTCAATGATGTTTTTTAATCTGATCCACTGATTATCTCATTGTTAATAAACTCCATACTTGTTAATATTAAAGGATAAATTTTGATCAGATAATAAATTTGGCAATGACATATTAGGCTGAGAGGTTAAAGTTCAGGCCTCACAGAACTAAACTGAACGTAGGCAGAGAGGAGGGCGGGGTGAAGATTGTTTCAGTTTTGTCACACAGAAGCAGCATTTCAACAAAGTCAAATTCCACGCTGGGCCGTTGAACAGCCATTTGGACCACATGCTTCTTTTAAACAGCCAATCGGATGGCACGCTTCCTTTAAACAGCCAATCGGATGGCACACTTCCTTTAAACAGCCAAACACATGGCACACTTCTTTTAAACAGCCAAACACATGGCACACTTCTTTTAATCAGCCATTCGGACCATACGCTCGCTTTAAGCTGCTAATTGACACCTGCCACTCATGACAGGATGCTTATTATGCTGTGATTTGGCTCATCTCTATGGACGGTGCGCTTTGAAAGGTTGCTTATTTAAGAGACGTGTGCTGTGGCTACCTGAACAAGCCCTGAGGACCGTCATCCCCCCCCCCACACACACACACACACAGACAGGCTCCGGCAGCTCGCATTAGTGGCGGTTGTTGATGCCATTGATGTCTGTCCTCGTTTTCCATCTTGTCCCCTATTTCTGGATCTTTCTTCCTTCGCATTACGTGGCTGTGCAGGACACAGGGTGCTACCTCAGGGGTGACTGAGTTATTAAAAAGGCGAGACAAGAGCTGGGAGCTGGGGGGGTGCAGCCCGCCCCCAGCGAGAGGAACAGCAACAACACACTGCAGACAAAACCATCCGTGACACTCCTCTCTCTCTCTCACTCTCTCTCTCTCTCTTCTGAGTTCCCCTCCCTCCTTCTCATTGTTCTGACCACTCTTCCTCCACACCCTCTAGTGTGTCCTTCTGTTCACGCCGGTCACATGTCTCCTGCTCGCTGCTGTTAGCCCTGATGCTAACCGCTAGCACCACCATGAGTGCTTCTGGCCCCAGGGCTTCCCAGCCCTCCAGCTGACCTCTCCCCTGACCTCACGCTCAGTCACTCTGACTCAGTCGCCCCTCATTCCTCTCCGGTATGACCACTTCAGGTAAAGTGTCCTTCCCTCCCTGAAAGAGACGCAGTAGAAATAACAGAAGAGGTCAGAGCCGGCGGCTGCCTATCCGGGGTACGGGAGGCGCAGTGTTTAAGGGCACGAACCTGCACTGGGGGGGGAGGGGCAGTTCTTTTATGCTAAGAAAAGTTCTGAAGCTAAATTAATTCACTTAAATTGTGAACATAAATGTGTGAAATCTATTGGACAAAAATTAAGATTTAAAAAAAATCTGATGCCTTGCTGCTCTTCTCTTGCTGTCCAGTAGGTGACCAATGGCGATCTTGATATGTGTATTCATTTGCACAAATCAGATGAAATATTATCATTTTTTAATTAAAGTTAGTACCGCGCCACTACAGTTGTCATTTATTTTTTTTACCAATGACTGGCTGCAAATAGTTAATCTGAATCTGATAAAATGTGTACCTGGTAAAACTGGTCTCCCTTATGGCAGGTGATCCTGGCCTATAGAGGTGGGTCTGTATTCTCTTCTACTTAGACCATAATAGCAAAATCCATCCCCATCCAGTGTCTGTGCTCTATCCATCTGTGCAAGTTTTCTCCTGCCCACAAAGACCCCGAGAAGGAAAAACAAGCTGAGAGTGATTGTGGTGATAAGCAGGGGGCCTGGTCCTCAGTGTCCGCCTGCCTTTCAGGAGCCGTCCTGGTGCCCTTTCCCCCAGGGCAGGACCTGACACCGGAAGCTTGGGGGTGAATCTGGAAAGGCCGTGTTGTTTGTATGTGTTTTTCTTGACACACTGGGCCAGAGGTGCTTCCCGCTGTGATGGCTGTACACAGCGCGACGTCTCAGATGGGCGGGGTGGGTTCTTCTGGGCAAATTTTGTTGAACCACTAACCAGCTCCAATGCTAATGATCAACCCATCAGTGATGACTGAGGCTGGGGCAGGCGAACTCAAAGGGAGGGATCTTTAGCCAGCAGTGTTTTTACTTTTCAAGGTTGCAGAAAGACTGTTATTACTGATTTTTTTCCACCTGGTGTCGCCCCTTTAAGCGTTTTGCAAGTTTAAGCCCTGTTAGGGCAGCATACGGCGGCTAAACGGCTGGCTAACCGAGAGCAGGGCCATCTATCAGCCAGCGTACAGGCCCAGCTCCCCCACGCCGCCGGCCAGCCAGAACCTCGTTAAGGGCCCATAATGATGAGCTCCGCACGAAGGGGGAATAATTGCAAATAAAAATACGTGATGCAGAAAATAAAAAGGGAGATGAAACAGATGCGAGTGGCGTAGGGATCAGTGCGCACGCTCTTACTCATCCGTCAGAGTGCTGACTAGCAAGGAAATGCCGGCGGGACAGAACTATCGGAGGCTGGAGTCCGACGGCCAAACAAAGCGCATTTACTTACCGATGCTGACACTCTTCCACGATGAGAGTCATTCTGGCTTCGGGTATTTGCTTGTTGTTAAATTATGACAGATTCCTGAATGGATCAGGGAATGGTGGCTAATGACCTTTGTCAGTCAGAATCCCATCGTACATGGCGTGCACTTCCTGCACTTGTGCGTTTGGGGTTTGCCGTGATGTCAGGCCCCATAATTCATTGCATAGCGATAACTAGCATAGACTGCAGCATCAAGAGTGTATCAGAGACAAACGAGCTTTCCGCTTTGCAGGGTGACATGCTCATGACTATACTATAGCACTCATCTCATTCCGGCCTTTGGTTTCAAATGGATGCTGTTCTGTTTAAATGCATGTAACATTTACAAACCTGCACCTGGCACCCAATGGTCTGTCTTAAGCTCTTTAAGACATGCATCTTGCAGACTAACAAATCGCCCATCCATCCATCCATCCATCCATCCACCCATGTCCTATTGTCCTATGCAGGGTCACCAGGGGCCTGGAGCCCATCCCAGAGGCTATGGGTGCAAGGCAGGGAACAACCCAGGATGGGGTGCCAACCCATCACACATCGTTCACACCTATGGGCAACTTTGGTAACTTAAATTAACCACAGCTAGTTTTTGTATGATGGGGATAACCGGGATTACCCACAGGAAACCACACAATGGCACCCAGGTCCCAGAGGTCTGAGGCTACAGTGCTAACCACTGCACCACCACACCCACTTACAAATCAGACAAGATCGAACATGGCAGAAAATAATAATATTCAGCAACAAATTCCTATAAGCATATCTTTTGGAATTGAAAAAAAATCAAGTTAAGCTGTTTGGACCTTAAACGTCGATGAACCGCCCCCATTATGTGCCTGCAGCATGACCTAGTGATCTGATTGGTTGTGCCCGTCGTGATGTCTGATTTGATTGAATCTGTTAATATGTAAATGAGCTCCTTCTGGTGGACATTCTCACAACGTCTCACGGCGGCTCCGCCCCCCCGCCCTCTACCTACACTCAACCTTTGTTTCTCCATGCCCCCCCCCCCCATGCTTCATACTGCATGTATACAACAAACAGTACAGCAGGACCTGTGTCTTAGTACCCAAATCCACCCCATGGTCATTTTATTTTCATTTTACTTTTATTTTATGATCATTGTGTTACATTTAGAGTTTTAAAAAGCAAACGTATCCTATTCATGCTTTATTTAGTTAAAATAGTTCTTTGGAAATATGACATTTGCATTTCAAGATATAATATCCAGATGATTTTCAGTCACGTGCCTTTGAGTAGCAGCATGAGATAAAAGAAAACCCTGAATGTCGAGGGTGAAAGTCTTTCCAGCATGGATCCCCGTTTTGTAATCATCTCATCCACACGTCTCAATGGCGCACAGAAAGGCACAGAGCCGGCTGCATTATCTGACCCTGCTGCTCCAGATTCACCCTCAGCTCTCCCTGTGTCCCTCTTAAATAAAATCCTACACAACAGCTACAGAGATATCATATCTTTTCTCTGACGGGAAGTTGATGTGTCTGTCCATCATGTTTTCTTTCCACTAGAAAATTTCATTCATGTTCTTTTTTTTTTTTTTTTAGATTAATTTGCCGCTGATTATAAACTGCATAGCGTCAGAAACTGTGTTGTTGTGCTGTCTGTGTGCTCTCAGAGTTCATTAGATTGCTGTAGATCCATGATAAAGAAAAATGCCATAGATGTCAGAAGTCTGTCAGACACATCAGCTCTGTGTATAAGATGAAGGAATGAAGTCTGTGACAGTGACATCGTCTCCTGGTATTCCGATTGAGGTGTGGACCTCCAGTCATTCCGCGGATCTGTTCCGCTCCACGCCTGATTCTCCGGTTTGTCGCCTCCTTTTGCGGCCGCTGATTCGCTCAGCTTCTCGTCTTTTGCCTTTAGAAACATGTCCTGTTCCTCTTGGCGGTTCCCCCCCCCCACCACCATCCAAGGTGACTGCTGCTCAAGACCCTGGACTGTGGGCCGACCCCTACAGATGATCGTAGGCTGTGCTGGAAGGGGCCGCTGTCCGTGAGGCTGAGCTGTAGTAATATGGTGACCCTGTGGGGATCATCCCGAAAATCACGTCATTTTGCTGAATTCAGGCCTGTCTCCACTCAAACCTCATTGTCAACAGTATGTATGTTCATATGAGTAAAAAGCTTTGATACATAAAATGGAACTGATATAAACACAAATGCAAACACACACTTTTTGTAAAAATATTTTGAAATAAACCTCGTCTCACTTAGCAGAAACCAAAGTGAGGTACATTTTGAAAAAGTGGAGTCAGACATTAAGGGTCTTGTGCAATAGCCTCATAATCTGGTAACGCTGGATTTGAAGTAACAACCACCTGATTCCAAGCACACCAGTCTAACCCACAGAGCTACAAACCCTCCCACTTTTTGTGTTCTTGATTCGTTCCTAAAATCTTGGTACTGGTCAAGTGTTTTTCTTCCAATGGGCGCATAATTTTGGACAGGATGATTTTCATATGTTTCCATTCTTAAACTCCTCAGTGTGAATCACACAAAGTGATTGAACGGCCCTTACACGTAGACAGGCTGCACACATAGACAGGCTGCACTACACAGCCAGTATAAATGGATGGCCACTTTCTTTTTAGTGTAGTTTCCTGCATGGTAACCTGGGCAGCCCTGCAAAAGCATTTGGTGCTGATTCATAGCAGCGGCTAATAGGCTGCACCATTAAAACTCCTTTGATATCGGTGGGGCTGGTCAGCACTGGTTAATGGTTAATCCTTTAATGAGCTCACTGTGTGCATTAAGTCACTAGTGGTTATCTTTGCCCTGTGGTCGTCGTTTTATCCTACTGGAATACATTATTTTGGAATGGGGGGTTCTGAGTTAAGGAGTGATTTGTGACTGCAGGATGGAGGACGGCTGTTGGGGCCAACCCCGCCCCCCGCCCCCCCCATTCAAGTAGAACTGCTTTCTATGACGACTGATTAAAAACTGCAGCTCAGCTTCCGCTGTGATGTGTGGCCTGCAGGTTCGGGGTCACAAGCCTTTTATACCACTCAGGTTCATAAGACCGTAAAAGCTCCATGACATAATAAGATAACATACATTTTAAACTGGAGCTATAAGCTGTAGGAGCTAAACCAGGTCTAAACCACAAGGCCATCCTAAACTGCAGGACCACCTTAAACCTCAGGACTATCCTCAACTGCAGGACCACCTTAAACCTCAGGACTATCCTCAACTGACGGACCACCTTAAACCTCAGGATTACCCTAAACTGCAGGACCACCTTAAATCTCAGGACTATCCTTAAACTT